ACATCCTCCTGCCATATCTTGCATTTCATGTCTTCACCCACGCTGCCAATGTGCTGGCCCGTGAAAGGGCCATTCCAGGTCGCCTGAGTAACAGTTAAAACACAACAATACCAGACCAGATACCAAGGAACCAGGGGGCCACTGCCGTGGGAGTGCTTACATCACGGATCTCCGCATCATGAGCACGCCAAGTATCTACGAGCTGCCATTCACCGTCTTTCTGGTCCCAAACCTTCATGCGGTGATCAGTTGAAGCTGTGACGATGCGATTGCCATAAAAGTTGAATTTGGTGACCGAAACCAGGTCTCTATGACCGGCGTCGAAGTCGGCGAATCCAGCCATGATGGGCGTGTGCGGTATCCCCAATCAGAGACGAGACGATCAAATCAATCAATCAGAATGCACAGCAACCAGCCTTTAGCCACCACCTTCAGGAAGCAAACATTCAGAGACGCGTCAAAGATCAACTGCAGAAACCTTAGAGGTGGGGGGTGAAGCCTTCCCCTGATCTATGTAGATCCGACCTTGCAATCGCCTATAGAAATCAAGCAAGGCGTGCATATGAAAGCGCCGGGATGCGATAGCTTCAGGCAGCTTAGGTAAGGCAGCCACGCCCGATGCCGGTCGGAGCTGGTCTTCACCGCCTATGGGAAGAAAAGGGCGGTCAACGATGTACCGGCAGAATAGAGCTCCTTCCCCAATTTCTCCACTTGCCTCTTGATGCCACCTTGCCTTTCTCCAGCGCCAGAGAGATTACGCGTCCTTATGGAAGTGAAATTCTACTTAGCATGAGGCCTTGGAGATAGGCTCACATCAAACCATTTGCGCGATGGCAGCAGCAAATACAAGCTCTCTTTCTCGCCAGGAGACCTGGCGGCTCTTCGCCTTGGTGGGAGCCTGCGTCGGCATCCTTCTGAATACTTTCCAAGGCGATGGCGCGCCCTTGGTAGCTTCGCTCGCGTTTAGCGGTATCGCTTTCGCAGTCGCATTTAGCATGATTCGATGGCTTGTACCAGTGTTCTTGAAGGCGGGCCTGAAAGGGCGAGATATGGCGAAACCCAGAAGACCCGAAATGTATGGATAACCCATGTTTCTTCATTTTCTTGTATGATAGCTTATCATTGCGTACTTGGCGTTATGGCAATGCTAATGGGATTGTAATTAGACCGGAAACAATGGGAGCCGTTTGTGCTATTGTCTATCTCCTTGCTCTGATATTCTTCATCCCCTTTGCCTTTTACAAGGATATAGTGGCTGCCACCTCAGGTGGAGGCAACCGAGATGTCGTAATCGAGGTAGAACATGTTGAGACTGGCCGGATGCTACACCGGTTTCCGCATGGGAAGGTCTGTCATTTCGGGTGCTCTAATCTGCGCTAGCTTACTGACAGCGAAATTACACAGCTTGCATCCTATCTTTCCGGTCTTCTTTCATTGCAATGTATCGTCATTCTCGGAATTGGCGACGACCTACTTGATATCCGATGGAGACACAAGGTCCTCATTCCCGCCTTTGGCGCTATTCCGATGCTTATAGTATACTTTGTGGACTTTGGGGTTACGCAAGTCGTCGTGCCAGTGCCGCTGCAGCCCTATCTGGGCTCCACTATCGACCTCGGCTGGTTGTACTATGCCTACATGGCGGCCGTGGCCATCTTCTGCCCCAACTCTATCAACATGCTGGCCGGAATTAACGGAGTTGAAGTGGCCCAGTCTCTGGTGATAGCGGTTCTGCTGATAGCAAACGATGTCCTATATCTTGCACCCATTACACCATACCCGCATCCGGCAACGGACTCCCATCTGTTCTCTCTATACTTCTTGTTGCCTTTTGTTGGAGTGTCCGCGGCCCTCTTGTGCCATAACTGGTACCCATCAAAAGTTTTTGTGGGAGATACCTATTGCTACTTTGCGGGTATGGTGTTTGCCGTCGTTGGCATCTTGGGTCACTTCAGCAAGACGCTTCTGCTTCTCTTCATCCCCCAGATCTTCAACTTCCTATATTCAACGCCACAACTCTTTAATTTGATTCCTTGCCCGCGCCATCGGTTGCCCAAGTTCAATTCCGTCACTGGGCTGTTGGATGCATCGGTGACCGAATGGACTGTCCCGCCATCGCCACTGGTGGCTACTACCCTAAACCTGCTGCACACATTACGGCTGGTGCGCGTCACCAAGAACGAACAGGGCCAGATTGTCGAGTCGACAAACCTCACCATCCTCAATCTGTGGCTCGTATGGGCTGGGCCGATGAAGGAGAACCAACTGGCGTGGAGCATGGTGGCTGTACAGACATTTTGCGGCCTTGCAGGTCTGTTTGTGAGGCACCGCCTCGCACTGCTGGTGTTCCGAGAAGATAATCTGGCATTCGGGAGTTCCGTATAGTAATGGGAGTGTGGTATAGTATAGAGTGTTAATTGTAATCGAGATGTTCAATTTAGAATGCAAGTACCTTCAAGAATTGTTTTTAGCACCACACAGACTGGGCAAACAACTAGTCACTATGTAGAATGAACGAAGAACTGTATTATGCTCAATCGACAATGCCATGAAGAACCCCCAAACTAGCTCCTTCAGGTGCTATTCATAGCTAGCTTGGAGCTAGACACTGCCTTTGAAGGATTCTTAAAAAAAAGTGCGCCATCGACGTATGGAGCGTTTCCTACGAAAGAGACTACTATAGAGCTGAAGAACATGGACAGAGAGGACGGCTCCATAGGTATCGTTTAGTAGGCCCCACATCTCCACACCCCACATCCTCCACCAACACACCCACTAGTATTTCATTCTATAGACACCCAAGCCATATACTGTGCTAACTGCTAACCACCACTTACTACGCTGACATCCAGCCCCTTGCACCAACAGCAACGGCAAATATCCATTGGGGGAACCACAAAACAGCTCCTTGTTCTGCTCAAGGATTCACTCTACAAATGGCAAGATGACTGTACAAAAATCTGAGTCAATTGAGCAATAAAAAAACCATGTTATCCGTCTATCTCTCGCTAAAGAAGGCTAAGTTCTCCGGGTGTTCTTGTAGCCATAGGAAGACTGGTTATCCTGTGATCATGGCCTCCTGGGACTCAGTGCAAGTATACGGCGCGCTCAATCCCTTACATTCTCTCATATCTAGGCCTGGCCAGTCATTTAACTTCCTCTGCTAAAGCCTCCATTTTTTTCCCCTCGTACTCGTATGTAGTCCTGCTTCAAAGTCATAGTACTATCAATTACAAAACGATTACGAGCGGAAGAATATCCACGAACGGCGGAGACTCTAAACTGTTATAAGGGGATCTAGCCCGCTTGAAAACCCCGAATATCTCACTAATTGTGACGAGTGGAGTATAAGGACCTGTTCTACTACGTACTGCCAATGTATATCTACTCCGTACTCCATTCAAGTCAGCGAAAGCGCCAATCAACACTCCTACCTACCTGGTAGGCTACTATGCATGTATACTCGGTTAGTGATTTTGCCTGTCCTCTTCCATCCGATCAAATCATTCTCCATCTGCCCTTCCACCATCTTCGAGTTGGTCTGACTTGACAGCTCTCTACAAAAAGCCAACGGATATGCATATGTTTCTAACTGACCGAAGATGCTAGGTGTCTCCAGAGCTGCCACATGCGATCTTGTCAAAACCAATATCTCGCCTGCATGGAAGAGTGCTTTCTTTTGAGCTGTGAATTGTCCCATGTCCTACTCCGGAGACGGGAGAGTTATGTGTATACAGAAGATACCCCATTAGCATCGAGCTGATACTGACTGGCTGGTTTATAGGGTAACTCAGAACGAAAGATCCCAGAAGTATTGTTGCCCAAGATGAGATACAGAACACCAAGAATTCAGAAACCTTCTAGAGGAGGGTCGACACGTCGACGAAAACCTCTGCCAATCGGTAAGTCATGCATTGAACTCTGTTCGACAGCATCGCATATTATGTTGTGTTTCTACTATAGTGCCACCAGCAGAGTACTGCAACTTTCGAATGAGAGCAAACGGCCCGCATCATCGTCTAACAAAGAATGTATTAACGGGAGCATCCAATCAGTACCAAAATCGAAAATCGATGAACAATACTACACGAAGCGTGTGAACCATAACGTGTTTTCGATCTACAAGCCCAGAAGCTTCTACATTGACTCATACTCTCGCCATACTCCGATAACGGATAGCTCTACCAGCAATATGACTCAGGCGAGAGCTGTGAAATGTGATCGGCTGATTCGCATCTTTTGAGGAACATACCTTGTGGGAACCACTATTTGGGCATATCAAAAGCGGCTCTCATGGACTACGAAGTGTTGACATGTGGAAAAAGGAAGGCGTGCGAGACATAGCGCTGCTCAGCTACTATAGCGTCAGGGAATCAGCCAAAAGAGGTGATGACCTGTGGTCTTGTCGATCAAATTAGGCAACATCACAAACTAGCGCCATTTTCTCCAGTACTAACCGCGCAAGCTAAGCATTCCAAGTGGGCTAATCATCCCTCTTTCCCGAAAAAACAGATTATCGGGCCGGAACTCCAAAGGACTCCGGGTTTTATCCGGAGATTGGCGGTCAATGATGTGCCAATGTATGATTATTCGTGATCCTGACCGACATGAACAAGAAGCAAGTAGTGGATGCGGCCAGACGGCATGCGTGCAATTCGTACAGTGCTGGTGACCATGACACATCCAGAAAAGATAGACAGTTGTTGCAGTTCAAGATGAACTAGGCGCTTCTAGTGTTAATCGGCACATGCAACTCATACTCTTTCAAATCCAATCAATCCAGACCGGTTAGTCAGGGCGGCGTCATTTGCCGCGTCTAAGCGCCACTCCGGCCGGTGTCGGTCCCCAGAATTTTCGGCCGTAGCCAATCGCCACCCAGCAATTGGGTGCTGACCACCGACACCGGCGCTGCCCCTCGACAAGCCGCGCTGCGACATCGCGGGTCTTCCCCAGTTAAAACCATCTTCGCTTCTCCCACTCCAGCTGTTCATATTTCCTATCTATCTTTCACTGTCTTTCCCCGTGTTTGGGCTTTATCCCTTCTCCTCATTTCTCCCCAAAACTACACTCTCATCCCCCACATTCTATATTTCCGTTGATCTCCCACATACACATTGCCCCTCATGCCTGGCGCTGATAGGAAACCCAAGACCTTGTATGACAAGGTCCTGGATCACCACATTGTCAACGAGCAGGAAGATGGTACTCTCCTGATCTACATTGACAGACACCTTGTCCACGAAGTCACATCTCCCCAGGCCTTTGAGGGTCTCAAGAATGCTGGTCGCAAAGTCCGCCGGCCGGACTGCACTCTGGTGACCGTTGACCACGTATGTCTTTCATTTCTTTTTTTTTATCCTATATTAGGAACGAGTCAGTCACTAACTACCTTGATAATAGAACATCCCCACCTCCTCCCGCAAAAACTTCAAGAACGTTGATGAGTTCATTAAAGAGAACGACTCCCGTCTGCAATGCAGCACCCTCGAAGAGAACGTCAAGGACTTCGGTCTCACATACTTTGGCATGGGCGACAAGCGTCAGGGTATTGTCCACATCATCGGTCCCGAGCAGGGTTTCACCCTTCCCGGTACCACCGTCGTCTGCGGTGACAGTCACACCTCTACACACGGTGCCTTTGGTGCCCTTGCCTTCGGTATCGGTACCAGTGAGGTCGAGCACGTTCTCGCCACTCAGACCCTCATCACCCGTCGCAGCAAGAACATGCGCATCCAGGTCGATGGCGAGCTGCCCGCCGGTGTCACCAGTAAGGATGTCGTCCTACACATCATCGGTGTCATTGGTACCGCCGGAGGTACCGGTGCCGTTATCGAGTTCTGTGGTTCCGTCATTCGCAGCCTGAGCATGGAGGCCCGTATGTCCATGTGCAACATGTCTATCGAAGCTGGTGCCCGTGCCGGTATGATCGCTCCCGATCAGATCACCTTCGACTACCTGAAGGGCCGTCCTCTCGCTCCCAAGGTCGACAGCCCCGAATGGACCAGGGCCGTCAACTTCTGGTCCAGCCTCGCCTCTGACGAAGATGCCGTCTACGACAAGACCGTCATCATCGACGGCAAGGACATCATTCCCACCGTCTCCTGGGGTACCTCCCCCCAGGATGTCATCCCCATCAACGGTGTCGTTCCCGGCCCCGATGACTTCGAGGATGAGAACCGCAAGCTCGCCTGCAAGCGCGCTCTTGAATACATGGGCCTGACCGCCGGCACCCCCATGAAGGACATTACGGTCGACAAGGTCTTCATTGGTTCTTGCACCAACGCCCGTATCGAGGATCTCCGCGCCGCCGCCAAGGTTGTTCGCGGCAAGAAGATTGCCTCCAACATCAAGCGTGCCATGGTCGTTCCCGGCTCCGGTCTTGTCAAGCAGCAAGCCGAGTCCGAAGGCCTCGACAAGATTTTCTCTGACGCCGGCTTCGAATGGCGTGAGGCTGGTTGCTCCATGTGCCTGGGCATGAACCCCGACATTCTCTCCCCCCAGGAACGCTGCGCCAGTACCTCCAACCGTAACTTCGAAGGTCGCCAGGGTTACGGCGGTCGCACCCACCTGATGTCCCCCGCCATGGCTGCCTCCGCCGCCATCGTCGGCAAGCTGGCTGACGTGCGCGAGCACCTCACCTCCAGCCCTGTCCTCGGCAAGGTGCAGCCCAAGATCGACGTGCAAGAACAGCTGCACGAAGAGCCCACCACCGAAGATGAAGTCGAGCGCATCATGGACCTCCCCGCCGACAACGAACCCCACACCAACTCTTCTGCCACCGCCACCTCCTCCGCCGGCCTCCCTAAGTTCACCACCCTGAAGGGTGTCGCCGCCCCGATGGACCGTTCCAACGTCGACACCGACGCCATCATCCCCAAGCAATTCCTCAAGACCATCAAGCGTACCGGTCTTGGCAGCGCTCTGTTCTACGAGCTCCGCTACAAGGACGGCGCCGAGGATCCCTCCTTCATCCTGAACCAAGGCATCTACCGCAACTCGAAGATCCTCGTTGTCACCGGCCCCAACTTCGGCTGCGGTAGTTCCCGTGAACACGCCCCCTGGGCCCTCCTCGACTTCGGCATCAAGTGCATCATCGCCCCCTCCTTCGCCGATATCTTCTTCAACAACACCTTCAAGAACGGCATGCTGCCCGTCGTCATCAGCGACGAGGCCGTCCTGGCCAAGATCGCCGCTGAGGCCCACGCCGGTCGCGAAGTCGAGGTCGACCTGGTCAACCAGCAGATCAAGGACGCCGCCGGTAACAAGCTCGCCGACTTTGATGTCGATGGCTTCCGCAAGCACTGCCTGATCAACGGTCTCGATGACATTGGTCTTACTCTGCAGATGGAGTCCAAGATAAAGAACTTCGAGAACAAGCGGACCATCGAGACCCCTTGGTTGGATGGCAGTGGTTACTTGAAGCGGGGTAACCGTGGCGGCGCTACTATGGTGCAGGCGGCGCCAGTGCCCAAGACCAACAGGGGCGATGTTAAGTCTGAGCCTCTGGAGTGGTAGATTGCATACATTTCGGGGTTGAGAGTGAACTCTTGCTTTTTGATTTTGATTTTTCTGGTTGATATGACTTGATGATGAAGCTGGATTACGGGGTTTCCTTTTTATCATTTTACTATTATTTTTTTCTTGACTCGATTTCGGCTATATATCACTTTTGTTTTGGGGAAAAATCACTTGCATCTCGGCATAGGAAGGACAAATACCATATGAATAGGGTTAATAAATAGAAACAACAACAAGAAAACTTGTCTTCATACATACATACATTACTGGTCTTTAAAAGAATTTCCCTTGTGAATCCATAATTACCATTTAGGATTATTATATTGGCCCTTCGATATTATTATGACTCTTCTTTGCCAAGGCGAAAACACGTAGTAAGTAATGGTAGTAGTCGTAGTAACGAACTCAAATCAATCTCAGGTCAACAAAAGTGCAATGAACCAAAAACTCAACGCAAAAAAAACAAAACAAAACATGTAGTACTAAGCAATAAACATATCCCCCAAGTATATTATGAAAAAAAAAAAAAAAAAAAAGCATCATCATTACCAATCACCCAATCATTCCATCCATCAATCAATCAAAACAAACACAATTCATCCTCCCATGTAAATCATGCTCATATCAGCAATCATTCAATTCACTCAGTCAGTCAATCAATCAATATCCCATAAACGCGTGCAAGCAGGTAAGTAGCAGGTGTGGTATCAAGCGAGCGTAAACACATCCGGTTCGTCAATATGTAGTTCAATGATCAAAAAAGAATGCAAAAGACTTTCGTAAGCAGCCAACAATGATGATGAAAAACGAATGATGAAATCACGCAGGTATATATACGTGAACGTAGTGGGTATGGTGGTGATGATGCAATGCGATGCGATGCGATGCGATGTTATGCAAACCGAACCGGTCGTGGGGACGAGGGAGAGGATCATGTATGGTAATATACAAGGCGCGCAAAAGATGAGTGCAGATGGGGTGTATTTTCCTCGACGGGGTTTGTCAATCTGGGAATTATGTATGTGTGTCTTAGCTCCAGCTTCTCGATGATTGAGCTGGGACACTGTAGGGTGGGAGTCGGATTAAGGTTTTGTGAGTTGTTCTTTCCGGAAGAACATCATGAATCCGGCACTGGTGTATTGTTAGTAAATGGGGTTTGAACTGGAAGGTAATGAGGGGATATCTTACCAAATGAGTAACTGGAAGAAGAGCGCAATCCAGAACCAAGCGTTCGCTATGGCGCTTAGTCCCGCTGTGATATCTGGAGAGATGGGCCCGGGTCCGATCTTGTTCGGTGCGAATGCTCTTGCGCAGATCGTTGCAATTGAACCCAGTACTTGCGATGCAAGTAGTGTGAAGCAAATATGCATCCGGGTTAGGGTCTGAAGAAGGATCATACCGAACCCGACGCCCTGCAAGGCGTCCAAGACTCCGAGCCACAGCCACAAGCTCCGGGATACAAGGGCACCAGAGGTGTAGCTACCCGCCCAAGGAAGGAAGAGCCCAAGGCCTGATACACCCCACCAGATTTGGGCCCATCGGGGGGCACCCAAGCCACAGGCGAAGACCGGGAGGATCCAACTATGGCGTTTGGAGAGGTATCCAAATAGGAATAGCCATCCAGCCCATACGAAGCCAAAGAACACGATGCAGAGAATTCCGACTTGCCAGCCCTTTGCGTGTGCCGAGCTCCAAAGGACTATAGTAACGCCAATTAGAATAGAAAGAGCGAATGAATTTTGGTGTACACTTACAACTCCAGTTTCGTCCGTAAGGCGCACTCAAGAAGAAGTTCTGCAGGATGACGACCACAAAGTTCCAAAGGATGATCTTGCGCCGGAACACCGATTTGTAGAACGAAGGAACTTTGCCGGGTGCTTGGTGGTAGTAGCTCGGTAGACCGAAGAAGATCAAGAGGCCGATGACCCAAAGGAGGACTGCAATGGGCATGCAGATAGCGCTGTAATGGGTTAGAAATGCATAAGACGAAGACAAAGGAGAACTCACGTCATTCTCCAGGTGTTAGTGATGTTGCCCTGAACATTGGTAACTCCATTCTCCACCGCCAGAGAAATGCTTGTGCCCCAATACCAAAGACCAATAACGTAGGCCTGTTGACTACCCTGGATGAGGCATGCGCGGAACACCCACTGCTTGACAGGGACTCCGTTCTCGTCACCAAAGTTGAGGGCGAAGAACAACGATCCACTGGCTGAAGCTGCAGCGTACAGGCCGGCGCCAACGTTTTGGATCCAACCGCGAGTAAAGCCATCGCTCTCAAAGTGTGCAAATCCAATGACCACGAATGACAACCCGTATAGGAGCCAAGGAAGTGACAGAACGAACACCGACTTGAAGAAACGGAAGAAAAACCACCAAACAATAGAAGCGACCAGGTATACCGTTGCGATTCCGTAGAGCTTCTTCGCCGTTTCACCATTTTCGCCTGTCAACAGGGTAATTTGGTACGAATTGGCAGCTATAATTTGTCCAAGACCAAGGAAGAGCGAATAAATGGGCCAATCGCCGATTCGGACTTGCATCCATTTTCTCAACCCAGTGGGTGGAACATAATCGTTTCCAAGAAGGAACTCGTCCTTTTCTCGGCGCTCTTGGCTTCCACTTTCGCGCGAATTCATGTCGACATTGGAATCTGAGTTCATGGGTGAGCTGTTGTCGAATTTGCCATGGAAGATCGAAGAAGCAGGCGACTGGTTGCGGCCAAGTCTTGCATCTCTGAATTTTCCAAACCATTTCTTCTCGCTGTCCTTCAAGTACTCCTCGATACAGAGTTGCGACTCGGAATTGTGACCATTCAGGTTCTCCAATCTCTTATCGAAAACCCTGTAGTATTCACCGGTGCTGTCTGTGAAGAAGGGATCGACCTTTTGCAATTTGTAATCTTTCTTCTCACCAATGACTGAGTCGACCGAAAGAACAGAGGCGCTGCTGAGACGGTTTCCGGGTTCGTTGGAGAATCTTGCAGGCGACACAATCGCCTCCTCAGGCTCCGGGCTTCCAGGAGAAGACGGAGAAAGTATAGACCTAGGTGTGAGGGAGCTCTGGCTCGAGTGTCTTCTGCTAAAGAAGTCTCTGGTAGGAGTCTGTCTTTGGGGGTCTAGTTGATGTGCTGCTTCTATCCGACGCCCCTCTTCTGCTTGCTCCGGGGTAAGCGTATACTCATCTTCTCCATACAGACTGGGCATGATGTCGTCATCGCTGCTCTCCTCGGTGTTGGAAGCGTTCGCAATTTCATCAGTGCCCGTGCTGCTTCTCATACGGCGGCGACCGCGACGGACCAGGTGGCCAGGGCCAGCTCGCACACCAAGCGATAGATGTTTGCTTAGGCCTGACTTGGGTTTTTCATTTGATCCAGGGCTCGGGGGTCGGCTGTAAACAATCGTATTCCGCTGCTGTGGTCCCAATGTGCTCAGGCGGACGTTCGAGTAACTTCCTTCCCGGGAGTGCGCGATGGGGGGTGTCTGTATTCCGCTAGGCGTGATGTGTCCCGAGGATGCAATCGTTGGTGTCATCATTCCACTGGGTGTGTTGAATCCAGACGACAGGGGCGGAACGTTTGATTTCGCTTGCCCCTTACTATGGATCCGCATTGCAGTAGACTGAAGGATTTCCAGATCCTCAACCCATTGGGCCACAGGGAACCGTTGTTTAGCAGACCGAGCCCGCATCTTCGCCCGCACTTGGGGCTTGGAGTTCAAGGCGCTTGCAATAGCAAGTTTGAACTGGTGCAGAAGGTGAGACGTTGTGGTAGACTCGATGTTGTACCACCAGCCAGGCATCTGTCCAAGACCACCAACGCGTGCGCCAATGCCCAGGGCACCTTTCCGGCCAAACTCAACAGCAACAAGCCCAAAGGGCTCATCACGCGAAGGGATCAAGGCGAACTCGGCTCCAGAAAAGATATACGGTGGTAGAGCCGTGAACTCTGGCTTCGAGAAGACCCGTCCCGGGTAGAGTTTCATCATATGGTCCAACTTCAATGCAGCAAATTTGCCATAGAGGTCAATGACTGGACCAACGCAAATGAGTTGAACGTTCGGACGGGACTCCAAAATAGCAGGCATCACATCAGCAATAAGGTCTACACCCTTTTGCATGGACCAACGGCCCACGAACACCAAAAGATCTGCATTGGGGTTTTGCTCCAAGCCAGCCCATTGTTGCGCTTGTCGCTTCAACTCGGCTCTGCTAGCCTCGTATACGGGATCAACCTGGATCTCACTTTCTTTCGGCAATTCCTTGTTCCATTCTGCAGTATCAGATGGATCGGGGTTAGGCAAATTGCCTACCTTCTTCAGGCCCCAAAAGATAGGATAGCGTGCGTATGAACGTTTGCCGTACTTCCTAGAGACACCAACAGCTCCAAATCCTTGTTGATGGATACGGAGGTAGCTTGCTCCGGCATGAAGCATATTGAAGACTTCTCCGAATTGGACATAGCGTCTTGCCGTGTCAGTATCCAAATTGAAGACTGAACAGACTTCATCTCTCTCCTTCTGGGTGCGCATAGGCCAAAGCCCTTGGAACTCAGCATTGTGAAGCGAGAGACAAACTGGAATCGTCTGGGGCAAAAGATATAACGGTGCAATAGACCCATGGTAGTCATTGATGTGGTACAGATCAATCCGGAATCGCCGAATTGCTTCTGCGATACATTGGTTCCACGCCGAGTAGTAGATTGCACTGTCCAAGTCATCCATGCGAGCAGGGTATGGTTCAGCCTTCGTTTGCTGGCGGAAAACAGGAGCGTCAAGTAGAACATAAGTGATGTTCTTCACAATGTGGTATTGGACCTTGATCTCATATTCGTTACCAAGAACCTTGACTTTCATCGGGTCAGCGGGCTGGTCGACTGGATAGTCCACTCCGCCAACACATGGGACGACCCAAATGAGGTTCTGCTGGCCGAGATGCTTTCCCATAAGCTGGGCCATAACACCCAAGCCACCGATTTTAATTTTGATAGCCCAGTCTTCGATGTCATACTCCATGGTTGCGATAAGCGTTGTTCTTCTTCGTGATCCTGCTGCACCAAAGGCTGACGTGCTTTGTAGGAAGCCAGACTTATTAGCCAGACGTACTAGGGCGTTCGTGGATTGGCCGTCTTTGTTGGCCCCCGTGCCAAAAACTGTCCCGAGGAAAGACTTCTTCTCCACCACTCCGACTTGATTAAACTTGACTTGATAGAACGACTTCATGAAGGCATAAACACATGCAGCACCAGTTATGAT